TGGCAGCCACTCTGATTTATGATGGTTTTATGATGGGAATTAACAATCCATTTAGTTTAAATACAGCATTTCACAGTGTAAAACGTTCCTTCTTTGTACTTCACCTTTTCGCTGTTTTGAAAACCTTTTACAGTCTAACGAGAAGTCAAAAACTGTCTTGTTTTAAAATTAAATTTAAAGTAGCTCTCAATCACACCATAAAACTGTTCTATAAATCAATCATAAACATTAGCGATGTTTTATTGACAATGTCTTGACAAAAAACTCTATAAACGTTTTCTATCATTATAAAAGCATCCATAAAACCACTAGGTTTTAAATAAGAGCAAAAAGCATATATTGTTTTCTTTTAGGCTTTTTAATGTGTATCATAAAATCTCCTCTGTTTACAAATTGAACTTTAAAGATGGATCCTCGTAGTGAATAAAAGCCAAATTTATGGCAAGGATAGCTCGAAGGATAAACATTTTAAAATTAAAGCGATGCTAACGACCGAAGGGAACTCGATTTCAGTAAAATTTAGTTCTTTAGAAGAACCAGCACGTCCGGCTGAACGGGTACATCAACGACTGGGCATCTGGTGGAGAAGAGTGAAGTGAGCGTGGTCCTCAAATTCATAAAACATTGTCAAAACGGTTTGGAAACAGACCAGCCTTCTCCAGACATTGCGAATAGATGACGATCGGAATAACTTGCGTCAGTACCTACAGCAAACCACTGAAACTGTTATTTAGCGGACACTAGTTGGTTGCCGATCCATATCAGCGATTTTATTCGGCGAAAGGGTCATCTCTTCCAAAAATTCCAGTCAACCGTACATTCCTGCTTCGTTTGATGGTGCACTTTCAGAACCATCCGGATGAAGGGGATCTTTTTCGGGAATGATTGAGGTTGCAGCGAAATGCGAAATGTTGTAAAACAGTATCGCACACTTTCTGAGTAACTGATTTCAAGCCATCGGGAGAGAATCGCCTGGATGAACGCTGGATCGCACAGCGCAACTATCGAAAGATAAACAAACTTTGACTTTTAACATTTCGTAGGCAACATTGCCACCATAAATGCTACCATAAATCTGAACGTATTAGGATCAAGCTAAATGGCTTTAGATAAATACAATTCAGTCTACAAGTTTTCCATTTCAAAACCGTATGAATATTTTAGGGATTTCTTGAAAGCAAAATAACTTTTTCGCAAATGACCCATGAAAATCAACTTTTATGCCTCCGCCATATTACAATTATTTTGTTTGTTTTTTACTATCTTCGATTTTCAATCTATATTTTCTTGGATAAAATTTTATTTTCGTCAATTTAGCAATGTAAAAATATTTAGAATGCAAAAATCATGAAAAACAAAAATCTCGGCTAAGCTTAATGATCGACCTGAAGAATATTTGTTTTTACTTAATGTATTTTTTTTTTTTAATTATAGTCACTTTAACGCTCTTGGGTCATTCATGACTTGTCCGGGAGTGAGATTTGAACTCGTGACTTTGACGTGAGAGGTATGGATGCTTACCACTGCGCCGGGGTCGCCCCCTACTACTACTTAATGTAAAATAATTAGTAAAATCGATGTTTTCCGTGGGTGGACACAAGGTTTTCGATGTTTTCACGCACATTTCACATCAAATTGTGTATGGCACCAAAAACTAGGCCTCTTCATGAGAACTATTTTATAATTTTGGAAATTCGACAGGATTTTTATACGATCAGTTTTTATTTTTATTATTTTGATAAGATCGGATGGTATTAATGAATGTTTTTTATCTTGATGGTTGTTTTTCTAGTGGACTAAGCAATCGGCTAGGGTTAATGGCTCGAATAATGTTTTTAATTGTTGCCAATTAGCTTTTATTGTAGCTTAAATATGGCTTCGAACGGGAACCCCAATGCCTTTATCATACAACCATTTTGCAGTATATCAATCTTGAAGAGCTTCGAAAATACAACTTACAGAACCTTCTCCAGGGTGGGCCAACTAGACAGATTCTAGCATCAATGAGGTTTTGGTGGATGCATCAATGACAAAGCAGTCTTGACCAGGGTTTAATGAATGTTGTTTTATAGTAGCTTTGTAGTATTTCATAAAACTTAAAATTTTACTTGGGTAATCAAACGAAAACATCCTTTACCTAGCTCGCGCATTGATGGATGATTGGATTTGAGGTATGTCCTCTAATCCACAGACAAAAGATTGCGCGTTTCACTTGCTCATAAAGACTGGAACGCGCAAAAATTGGTCGACAAAAAATCGTTTCTTTCAGTCAAAATTCATATCACGAAAATCTGCTTATTTTTCTTTTGTTAGTTCAATTCATACATTTAAAGGAAAAAGTGTTCGTTTATTCTTTTGGTTTGCCAAATCCGAACTGCCGTGCCATCCGTTTAACCCCTTCCATTAAATTTTACACAGTGGTCTTATCGACCTTATTCGCCGCCAAACGCCAGTTAGATTTGAACTGCTGCTCGTTTTCCAGGGATTTATTAGTTTTTTTTTAGATTCCGTTTGACCAAGGCCCAATACCGTTCGATAGGGCAGAGTTCTGGGTTGTCGGGAGGATTGTGGTCTTTGGGTACCACAACCACGTTGTTCGCATCGTACCACTCGATTGCCTTTTTTCCATAGTGGCAGCTCACCGCTTTTCCAGGCACTCCTGGACGTAGATCTCTTGATTGATGGTTCCCGTAGTAATGAAAATGCCGCTTTTTAAACCACACGTGCATATGGCCTACCAGACGAGATATTTTTCGGAAACTTCGATAGTTTGATGGTTTTGTAAATTTCAGCCACCTTTCCTTTTTCTGATGCGGTATAAAACTCCTGTCCCGGAAGCTGCTTGAAATCCGCCTTCACATAAGTTTCGTCGTCCATGACAACACAGTCGAACTTTGTGAGCAGATTCGTATACAGCTTTCGGGACCGCTGCTTTGCCGACATGTTTTGTTTGGTTCGGTTCGCCACCTTCACCTTCTTAAACGTCGACAACTCGGCTCGTTTCTTGGCCCGCTGCATAGTAGTATGGGAGACATTGAGCTTGCCAGCGACGTCCCGAATGGAGAGGTTAGGATTTCGTTTATATTTCACCGCCACCTTCTTCGTCGTCGCTGCCACGTGCGGATTACGATTGCCGCCACTTCCAGGCTTCCTGGCGGTCGACAGACGCTCCCCGAACACTTTTAAACAGGCTTGCTTCCACTCACTTGCTATAAAAAATTGTTTTTCGGAATTATGAAATCATTTGATATTATAATGATAGTTAGTATCTGTAAGTCACAAGATAAGGTTGTAAACTAGGTGTTTGACACATAAAACCTGTCATTATTGCTTTCAGTGCGTCACAAACAGCGATTTTACGATTCGTGAGGGCTCACTCTGAGTGAACGCTCACGAGTCATAAATTCGCTGATTGTGACGCACTGAAAGCGAAATTGACAGGTTTTATGTGTCAAATACATACCTTACGGGTCACGGGTATTAGCCCATTCCTTGTCCCATGCCGAAGCGATGATCGTTTTGATCCAGATTTTTAAGTCCGCTGCAGGGACTTCCGGTGCCACTGGGGGTTTCGATCCGCCGATCGCTGCCAGCTTGTCCGCAACCTCGTTTCCACTGATGTTGCAGTGGCTGGGAACCCAGACATATACGGTGTTACTGTTCGAAGCCATTCTGATTGCTTGCACCAACGGGTGTCGGATCTTCGGACTCTCAAGGGCCTTCAGCACACTGGCCGAATCGGTAATGATGGCCTTCCAGGAAAAACTGGACTCCGTAACGGCTGAGAAGATGGCAGCTGCCTCAGCCGAGAAGGTCGATGTAGGCATAGGAAGGCCTCTGCTGGTATCTAGGTTGGGGCCGAATACGTCTGTTACTACGCCTATCGATTCGGCGAACCCCTCGACTTCCTGTGAGTGATGAGAAGTGAGCAGCGGGACCCGTCACTGATCTCGCATGATCACCACTGCATGATCGCTACGTCATCTTCGCTGCCGTGATCGCGATCTGTCATCCGTTGATGACTTGCCAAACGTAATAGAAGAAAAAGTAGCTCGATTGAAAGAAAGTGAAAGTGAAAATTATTCTATGCTTAATATCTAAAAGTTTCCTTAAAATCTAGTTTCTTAACCTAAGCTAACCTATCTAGTGCTTAAACATAGTTGTTTTCCTACAGTTAATACTATAATAATTAATAATCAACATAAGGTGAGAAGAACAATTTACAAATACCGAATCAAATTACTGACTAGTGTTCTTAAATAATAGGTTACATCTATAAATAGAAATTTAGGAGAAACTGCTATATTATTCTACAAACTACAATTAAGTCTATATTACCGAACTAAAAGGTAAGGGAAAATTAATTAACTTAAAGATTATAAGCACCCGTTTGCTAATCAATATTTAATATTCAACAGCTGAAACTGCGCAAGCTACGGATGCCTACGACGCAATCGGATTTATGTTTGAAGAGGTGTTGAATTAGCAAAAGTATGTCGTAATTGATACCCGGTAATTTATACTAAATTTAACATACTTAAATCCTTTTAGGAATTTATAACATCGATTACTCTCAGAATAAATGTTCATGAATTCGGTAAATTCTGGCGACGTCCGCAACTTTTCTTCGAACATTTTATAAATTCTTTTGGTCGAACCGAGAGATGTCGTCGAAGCATCCCACAGCTGGATCTGGAAGAGAAGCGAATACAGTGGTAAGGGTGAGTGAGCAGCTAGTCGCAGAGCCCGCGACAGATGTTGTCCACTGTGCGCCAAGTACCGTCGCCGATCCCTCTCCTAGTGGCCAGGTAATTGTAGATAATGCCAATAAATCGAACCGACCGGTGACTGGGACGGTCCCAAAGCAGTCTGTATGTGAAGGAAATAAAGATGATAAACCTGCTAGTGTCGTAAGCGGGGTCAGACGTAATCCGCCGCGGAACGCGCGTTCGATTCGGTTGTCAGACTGTCAATTGTGTGGGGAGCTTAACAGTATGGAAATGGTTCAGTGCGATAGTTGCAAGCGGTGGTTTCATTTTTCATGTGTAAAGGTAACGCAGGAAATCCAAGATGTAAGTTGGTTCTGCGCCAGCTGTGCTACCCTGAGCAGTAAACAACCAACGGCTCCCCCCGTAGTTGATCGAGACCAAACGGCAACAAATCCACCCCCATCGCAGCGATCTAGGAGCATTGGAAGAAGCTCACAGAGCGAGTCAAGAAGGAGATTGAAGCTGCAGTTGCTGAAGATCGAAGAGGAAAAGAAATTGGAGCAGAGGTACCTAGAGAAGAAATTTGAAGCGCTTCTTGAGTACGGCAGTGATACATCAACAGTGATTAGTGAAACCGAGGCGAATAGAACAGAGAAGATCGAGCAATGGGTAGCTGATACGGAGCGGTGTGGAGAAGACGCAGATTCCGGTCTGGAACCAGAAGAAATAGGAGGACCTGTTCCAAGCAACTTGAGAGGTCCTTCAGAGCACCAGGCTCAACATTTCGGACGAAGTATAAGCCAGCCAGCGCATCCACAGGATTATCCAGCACCATCAGGGTTCCGTAGTTCCCAACCTGCCCATCATCGGATCATCACTAATCATCCGTCGCTGATTGAACCACGCTCGTTCGTTCCGGGTCAAGGGTCAACACCGATGCGTCAAAGTCATCAAGTGCCAACGTTTCCGTCTATGCCACATATCGACGATGAAACGGTATGCATTTTAAACAGAAGCCAGCTGGCCGCCCGGCAGGCAGTCTCGAAAGATCTCCCGGAGTTCAGCGGAAATCCTGAGGATTGGCCACTCTTTTTCTCAGTTTTCACCAACTCCACCCAAATGTGCGGGTATTCGAATGAGGAAAATATGCTGCGGCTTCGAAAGTGCCTAAAGGGAAGGGCATTAGAAGCAGTCAAGTGCCGTTTGCTCCATCCATCAAATGTCGGAGGTGTGTTGTCTACACTGAAAATGTTGTATGGCAGACCGGAAGCAATTGTGCAAGCAATCGTGAAGAAGGTTCGAGCTTTGCCATCGCCAAACATCGATAGGTTAGAGACGGTGGTCAACTTCGCGCTCACCGTAGAGAACTTGGTAGCAACAATCCAAGCATGTGAAGTACATGATTTCGTCTACAATGCCTCGCTACGATACGAACTGGTGGAACGACTACCTTCGACCTTGAAGCTGGATTGGGCTAAACACTCTAGGAATAAACCCAATCCGAACCTGCTTGACTTCAGTTCGTGGCTGTATTCAACAGCAGAAGACGCTAGCGCGGTGATGGCATCGGTAAGCGGGGACTCAAGGCCTCGCTCCAGCAAGAAGGATGGATTCCTCAACGTACATTCAGAAACCGAGTCGAGTTGTAACAGATTGTACACGGCGTCGTCGAAAGCGAAAGCAACAGCATCTAGTGAGTCGGAGAAACAGTGTCCCATATGTAAGGCCGGTTGCCTAAGCGTTTCAAAATGCAAGCGTTTCGCAGAATTCAGTTACGATTCGAGATGGGCTGCTGTGCGAGAGTGCAAACTTTGCCGAAAGTGCTTACGTAAACACAACGGGTCATGCAGACAACAGAAGCCATGCGGAATGAGTGGTTGCACTTATTTACACCACCCTCTCCTCCACAGTGCCGAACGACAGCAAGTTAACAGATTTTCAACGGGAACAACCACCACTGCTACTACGTCAGAGCGAACAGCCCAGCAGAGCTGTAACATCCACCAAGGACAGTCAAAACTATTGTTTCGAATACTTCCAGTTCGTCTTTACGGGCCATCCAAAACAGTGCAAGCGTACGCATTTATCGATGACGGGTCTGAACTTTCCTTAATGGATCAAAGCCTAGCGGAAGAGCTAGGATTGAAAGGACCACGGAAGTCATTATGCCTGAAATGGACGGGAGAAACGCAGCGATTGGAGAATGCGTCACAGCTAGTAAGTCTACAAATCTCCAGTTGCAGTAATCCGAACAAGAAGTACCAACTTTCCTCTGTACATACCGTGCAAAGCTTACAAATTCGACCACAGACGCTGCTGTATTCCGTGATCCAGGAGAAATACCAACATCTTGCTAGGCTACCGATCGAGTCGTATGAGAACGCCTGTCCTCGGATACTGATAGGTCTTGATAACCTTAGTCTCGGACATCCGTTGAAGTGCAGAGAACGACAGCCGCAGGAGCCGATAGCCGTTAAGACACGACTTGGATGGACCGTCTACGGGAGCTGCGAACCCGAAGACGTCGTTGAACATACCATTCTCTCCAGATCTGCAAGTGCAACAAATACAGCGATGAAGATCTTCACCAAGCCGTAAAAAACTATTTCGCACTGGACAGCATTGGCATCGTGAAGCCCGACAGACTTCTACAGTCGCAAGGCGACCAGCGTGCACAGATGCTCCTTGAAACGCTAACGAAGGCTCGAAATGGGCGGTATGAATCCGGACTTCTTTGGAAATACGACAACGTTCGTTTACCGGATAGCAAACCAATGGCGTTGAAGAGATGGGAGTGTTTGGATCGAAGGATGAAACATGACCCATTACTAGCAGAAGCAGTTAAAGCGAAGATCGAGGATCACATCACGAAAGGTTACATTCGGAAGCTGACTGATGAGGAGGTTCAAGCGAAATATCCACGTGTTTGGTACCTACCAATGTTCCCGGTGGTAAACCCAAACAAACCTGGAAAGACGCGGCTCGTTTGGGATGCGGCGGCAACCGCCCACGGAGTCTCATTGAATTCCGTATTACTAAAGGGCCCGGACTTATTAACGTCGCTGCCATCAGTACTGACTCAATTCCGAGAATTCCGAACGGCAGTTTGCGGCGACATTCGTGAAATGTATCAGCAAGTCTTGATGCGGGAGGATGATCAGCCCTACCAGCTCTTCTTCTATGCGGACAACGGAGAAAATCCAAGCACTTACGTCATACAAGTGATGACCTTTGGAGCCCCCGAGCTGCTCCCCGAGTACTGCACAGTACGTAAAAAACCTTCATGCAAGTAAATTCGAACAGGACTATCCGGCTGCAGTCGAAGTGATCGTCAAGCGTCACTACGTTGACGATATGCTATTGAGTGTCGAACAGGAGGAAGAAGCAATCAAGCTAACGGGTGATGTGAAGAAGATACATGCATTGGCGGGATTTGAAATTCGTAATTGGGCGTCTAACTCTCGGGCAGTACTGGAGGCGCTGAACGAATCAGCCACAACGGAGAAAAACCTGGGCGGTGAACATACGGTTGAAAAGATTCTTGGAATGTGGTGGAACACTACCTCAGATCACTTCACGTTCAAAATCTCCAATCGTATAGACGAACTTCTTTTATCGGGAAGCCGTCGACCAACAAAACGGGAGGTCCTTCGGACTCTCATGATGATTTTCGACCCGCTTGGGCTTATTGGCCACTTCCTAATGGTTCTCAAGACGCTTCTGCAGGAAATATGGAGATCTTCAATCGGTTGGGATGATTTGATCAACGATTCACATTTCGAAAAGTGGTCAACATGGTGTGCAGCCCTTCCTGGAATAACAACGCTTCAGATCCCTCGATGTTATCGGACATTGACCTCTACAGCCGAAGACAATGATATCCAGCTACACACATTCGTCGATGCGAGCGAAACTGGCTTTGCGGCCGTGGTATATCTGAGGTTCCAAGAAGCAACTATCATTGAGTGTGCGCTAGTGGGATCTAAGACAAGAGTTTCACCTCTCAAGTTTCTGTCAATTCCACGCTCCGAGCTTCAAGCCGCGATTATTGGAGTTCGGCTAGCAGACACCATAGGCCATTCGCTGTCAATCAAGGTGAAGCAGCGATTCTTTTGGACGGATTCTAAGGATGTACTCTGCTGGTTGAATTCCGATCACCGGCGTTATAGCCAGTTCGTCGCCTTTCGTGTTAGCGAAATTCTCGAGACGTCGGATGTACGCGAATGGAATTGGGTTCCGAGTAAGCAGAATGTAGCAGATGAAGGAACGAAGTGGAAAAACAATCCCGACTTGTCCGCTTCCAGTCGCTGGTTTAGTGGTCCAGAGTTCCTGTGGAAACCGTCGGATCAGTGGCCTACCACCAATCATCGCACCGGAAACACCACCGAAGAACTTCGCCCACACTTGCTGTTGCATGCGGAAGTCGCAAACCCGGTGATCGACCTGCATCGTTTCTCCAACTGGCAGAAAATGCTTCGCTGCACAGCTTACGTTCTTCGCTATGTACGCAATCTGAAAATCAGCGTATATCAGATGGAACGGATCAACGGACCCCTACAACGACGAGAGCTGAGCGATGCTGAATGCTATCTGTTCCGAACAGCACAGAATGCCGTTTACGCAGATGAGATCACCATTCTCTCTAGAAACCGGCACACGGAGAATCCAGATAGCTCTATCCCTAGAAGCAGTCCACTTTTCCATCAATGTGCCTTTCTAGACGAACACAATATCCTCAGGGTTCGGGGTCGAACGCAAGCTTGTCCGCTCATCGCCCGAGATGCCGCTCAACCGATCATACTGCCTCGTGAGCATCCGATCACACAGCTCATCCTCCTTGATTTCCACAAGCGATTCAACCACCAGAATCATGCAACAACGCTCAACGAAGTTCGTCAACGCTACCGTGTTCCCAGACTAAAAGCGACGTACAGGACTGTACGGAAAGAGTGCCAGGAATGCAAAAACGACCGTGCGTCTCCGCAGCCTCCCGCAATGAGTGACCTGCCACCGTACCGTCTCGCTGCTTTCACACGACCGTTCACATACATGGGGGTGGATTACTTTGGTCCTATAACCGTCATCGTAGGACGACGTTCCGAAAAACGGTGGGGAGTCTTAGCAACATGCCTCACAACCCGCGCTATCCACTTAGAACTAGCTCACACACTGACAACCGACTCGTGTATCCTGGTGATACGAAACATCATGGCCAGGAGAGGGACACCTGCAGTTATCTTCAGCGATCGTGGTACCAATTTCCAGGGGGCATCCAAAGAACTGAGAACAGTGATGCAGAACATCGATCAGGAGCAGCTCATGCAAGAGTTCACGACGCCTAATACGGAGTGGACCTTCATACCACCAGCAAGCCCACACATGGGCGGGGCTTGGGAACGCCTAATCCGCAGTGTGAAATCCAATCTCTATAAGTTACCGTGGACAAGACTTCCAACAGATGAGATTCTCTATAGTACGTTACTAGAAATTGAGAATGTCATAAACTCACGACCTCTGACGGACATCCGTATGGAAGACGATGAATCACCGGTGTTGACACCCAACCATTTCCTGCTAGGATCGTCAAATGGGATGAAGTCATGGGTGCCGTACAACAATAGTCCCAATGTGCTCCGACACAACTGGAAACTATCACAGGCTATGGTCAACGAGTTCTGGCGGCGGTGGTTGAGGGACTACCTTCCGTTTATCACCCGGCGCACCAAGTGGTTCATGAAGGTGAAACCAATCCATGTGAACGACGTGGTGGTCATCGTAGACCCGAAGGCCCCTCGTAACAGCTGGCCTTTGGGACGAGTCATCGCAACTAGACCTGGACAGGATGGACAAGTGAGGAGTGCCACCGTCCAGACTGATCATGGCATCTACGAACGGCCCGCAGTGAAACTCGCCGTGCTTGACGTAGGCGTTAGGGATCAATACGCTTCCGGAGGACCTTCTGCGCATTCGGGGGGGGAGTGTTACTACGCCTATCGATTCGGCGAACCCCTCGACTTCCTGTGAGTGATGAGAAGTGAGCAGCGGGACCCGTCACTGATCTCGCATGATCACCACTGCATGATCGCTACGTCATCTTCGCTGCCGTGATCGCGATCTGTCATCCGTTGATGACTTGCCAAACGTAATAGAAGAAAAAGTAGCTCGATTGAAAGAAAGTGAAAGTGAAAATTATTCTATGCTTAATATCTAAAAGTTTCCTTAAAATCTAGTTTCTTAACCTAAGCTAACCTATCTAGTGCTTAAACATAGTTGTTTTCCTACAGTTAATACTGAAATCAACATAAGGTGAGAAGAACAATTTACAAATACCGAATCAAATTACTGACTAGTGTTCTTAAATAATAGGTTACATCTATAAATAGAAATTTAGGAGAAACTGCTATATTATTCTACAAACTACAATTAAGTCTATATTACCGAACTAAAAGGTAAGGGAAAATTAATTAACTTAAAGATTATAAGCACCCGTTTGCTAATCAATATTTAATATGCAACAGCTGAAACTGCGCAAGCTACGGATGCCTACGACGCAATCGGATTTATGTTTGAAGAGGTGTTGAATTAGCAAAAGTATGTCGTAATTGATACCCGGTAATTTATACTAAATTTAACATACTTAAATCCTTTTAGGAATTTATAACATCGATTACTCTCAGAATAAATGTTCATGAATTCGGTAAATTCTGGCGACGTCCGCAACTTTTCTTCGAACAACGTCATAGCCGACTTCTTGAATAAACATCATTTTTATCCTAGAGAGCGAAGCCAGCTCAATGACGGATGGTTTGTTTTCTTTGTCTTCTTTTTTTCTCCCCTACCCAATCGTGTTGTTGGTTTGCGAAGGCAAGCCTGAGCCCGCACGAAAACAGCTGTTTTCAAAAGGATGATAGCCCCATTTCTAATGTTCGGCCTAGTTTGCAGTGACAGTTCATGACTGGATCTCGATGACGTTTGCGTGATCGATAGCAAAGCTCATCTCCTCTCTCTCAGATTGTTATTATTTCAGGCATGGGAGGCATGTAACGAAAAGTTTATAAATGGAGAAATAAACCAATACATACTGGGAAATATTTCATTCGACGGCAAAAACATCAAGCAATTGTGACGTAGGACTACGTCTGTGATCTCTATTGTGAAAACCCAAAATGGAACATGTAACAAAATTATGAAAGATTTTGAACATTTATACCTCTGTCCATATCGGATGGATTTTAATTCTAAACAAGCCAATCGATTGGAAAGTCGTGACGTAGGACTACGTCTGTGATCTCTATTGTGAAAACCCAAAATGGAACATGTAACAAAATTATGAAAGATTTTGAACATTTATACCTCTGTCCATATCGGATGGATTTTAATTCTAAACAAGCCAATCGATTGGAAAGTCATCTACAAATCTGTTAAAATGAACACTTTATCAATTGTCAATAGGTCACTATTGAAAATTGCACGAATGTGCAACTGTTGCTATCATAATTTAAATTATCACCGATTGCCTGCGAAAATCACTTTTCCTAACACAGATTTAAAAATTGATTTCATTCCGGTCTTGCCAAACGGTGTCTATTCAATCAATGCGTGTGGTGAGTGGTGGTGTTCGGTCGTCATCAGCAGCAGCAGCTGTGCTTTCGGCGCTTGGCGTTCTCCAGTACATAATGAAAGCCTGCCGGCATGCAGCTAGCTGCATGCTCTCGATTCAGCCTTCGATTCTACGAAGAAAGAGGACGAAGCCGCACCGCTACTGATCGGATTCAGTTGCGCGTCGTGCGCCACAGTGGGCTATCTATTCCAAGTGCATCGCCCTCGTTCCAAACAACATACAGCTCGCCAGCTTTATCTGTATTGAACACCCTAATAGTAGCTCAGCATTACTCAACCATTACGACAAAACGTTCCTTTTCAGAACCACCATAAATTTGTTAAATAGTTTTTTTCTGGACATTTCACAAGGTCATTAATTGGATATCAGTTCCCATAAGTTTCAATCTAACATACCATGTATTTTTAAGACAACCCACAATTACAAAAACCAAAGTTGGTCGTGGCATGAAAGTGATTTGATTTTGATCCAGAGATGATGGATTTTAATTCGTAAACGCCAATCGATTGGAAAAATTTTTTTTTTTTAAATGAGAATAAGACTATCAATTTACAAAAGGTCACTATTGAAAATTGCACGAATGTGCAACTGTTGCGATGGCGATCAAAATTATCACCGATTGCCTTCAAAAAGCGCATTCCTTAACACAGATTTAAAAATCGAATTCCCTTCTGTCTCGCCGAACGGTGTTTACTCAATCACCGTACGTGGTGAATGGTGGTGTCCGATCGTCATTAGCAGCAGCAGTGCTTTCGGCGCGTGGCGTTTTCCAGTACATAATGAAAGGCTGCCCGCAAGCAGCTAGCTATCAAGGCTGCCCACAAGAGCCCTGGATTCACCGAAGAAAGAGGAAGAAGCCGCACCGCTACTGATCGGATTCAGTTGCGCGTCGTGAGCCGCTGTGGGCCATCTATGCCAAGTGCGTCAACCTCGTTCCAAACAACATACAGCTCGTCAGCTGCATCAGTGTTGAACACCCAATAGTAGCTCAGCATTACTCAATCATCACGACAAAACGATCCTTTTCTGGACCACCATACATTTGTTAAAAATCTCGTTCTGCAGTTAACAAATAAGATTTTTCATATAAGACCACGTAGTCCTACGTCACCATTGCGTACAACCCCATAGGGCTGTCCCTTGTAGTTTTTTGATGTATGTATAGTACAAATAGTGAAAATAGAACAATTGAACAATTAAGAAATTTAACAAATAAAATATGAATATGTCGCGTACTAATCAGAATCACGAACGCATGGGATGAATCTATATTCTCTCGCACGGACATCACAAACTTACACTTCTTCCTTGTGTGGCACGTTTAATTAGGTTCCTAGATTCGCCTCAATGCATTACCAATGCTTGAATTTGTATACTGTGTGGCAGCACAAGTACATTTGTTTTCCGTCGATCTTGTTTTCCGTACTGAATACCAGTGCTACCGACGCCAGGGAGCCAGCTCCCACACCTGGACCCTATCCTATTGACCCATCAACTCATGGACCGGGGACCAACGGCTTTACTTCCCTTCCGAAGAAAGGCGTGATCAGAGATTTTATGCCTCAGAAATACCCCACAGGCCCCGACTGGGATTGAAGCCTAGGCCTTTTGGGATGAGAGGCAATCACGTTTACCACTAAACCACCGGTGCCGCAATTCATTCACTGTTGGTATCGATTCCATGTTCACACAAACGGCACCATTGGAAATATTTAAAGAGGTTTAAGGATATAGATTTTAAACAACGAAAAGAACTAAGCACAAAAAAAAAGTGTACCGACCAATCGCGGTCCTACATCAACCTTCCGTTCGTGCCCCTAGGCACAGACTCTAGTACCTTTTTTTTTCATTTTCATATCTTTCATGTTATCTAATAAAATTGGGAAAATTATATCAGAAAGGATTTGTAAGCCTGTTAGATGACTAGAAAAAAAAAAATTGGGTCATCTTTGGGTTACGATAAACAATTTTCGATTTAAAAAAATATTTTTTTTTTTTTGCTTCGATATAACATAACTAGATATAACGTAACGTTGCTTAATATCGAGGTACGACTGTACTCAACTTCCAAATGCAGCATTTCAGTGTTTTTTGTGCATTTTATTAGAAATACACCAATTTGAATTCTAGCGACGTTGATATTGATGACTACGTTGGTCATGACGAGAGAAGCAAAACAGTAGTTGATTAAAGAAGAATTGCATTATAACCCACCATCGCCGGGAAATACTTTCGGCAACGTGGGGCCTTACGTAGGTATAAGCGTCGCTAGAAATATTCCACAGCCGCTTCCGTTCACTGCCGTACTCTAGCGGAACTTTCAATCTATCTTCTTTATAACTTTCTTTAGCTAATAAATTATAGCACTAAAGCTTCATGTTGATATAAGTATAGCATTTCCTCCCAACTCTGAATATCGTAAACTTCACGTAAGAAGTAATAACACACATTGCATGTCTCATAATATTGTTCGATTGTAAAGTTCAAGTAAAGGAAACACTTTTTTAAACTGCTCAAATAATTAGAATACTACTCGATTTCTCGAACCTGAGTTAAACATAAAAGTTTTGTTTTTTTTTCAGACACCAACTTAGCTATTTAGTACTTTCCACATAAAACGTTAAACGTTCTAATGACAGAAAATTTTCTTAGCTATAATGAAAAACATTTATTCTTCAAGTGATAAATATTATAGCTGCTCCGTAGACCTAGGAGTACGGTAAAGACAAGCATAATGAATCTTCCTCGTAGAGTAGCAGCAGTACAATTTATCTCACGCACATCTAACGCTTACATCTGCAATTAGCATCATCAGAGCACAAAACAGGATAAAACGGATAATTCACAGTTCCATTTCATTAACATTTTTCGAATAGCTCCAGTAAAATGTATAGCTTGTTTCGTTTTACTTCATTTGTTTATGTGCTTCAACGTTGCACGATTCCTCCATTGACAGCAGTCATCCCCTTCCTCCTTCAAATCCAGCTCTTCAACGGAACAACAACGGTAGATCATCACTATGCCATTCCTGTGTCCTGCTGACCCATTACCCTTACTTACTGTTACTACTGTAACCATCTCGCAGCCATTTTTCTCGGTAAACATCATGCTTGCAGTTATACGCGAGTTCAGTTTTAGTGCCAGTCAGTGTAGCCAACGGGCCAATATTGCACGTTGGCGCTTCATCTTCACTCACTCATTCGCTCACTTTACTAGCTCGCAAACTATCATTTCACATAAAGGCAGCATCGTGCTCCGTTGCTGTGAAATATAGTGAATAAATTTCATCTCCCCGCTCATTTCGCTGGGAATTTATTCATTCCATTTATCTTTGCTGCAGTTAAAGATGTGATACTATGGACTGATACCAGAGCAGGATTTAATTTGGGATTAATATTCGCTG